TGTGGAAACGGGCCATTCAGCCCAACAAGTCCATTTCCACCCAGGCCTATTCCCCTGCGCTATCCCTGTAACCCTGCATTTCCCATTGCTAGCACGTCTAACCTATACATCCCTGAAAACTACAGGGTAATTTAGCACGGCCAATCCAGCGAACATGCACATCTTTGGACTGCGGGAGGAAACCAGAGCACTTGGAGGAAAACCCATGCAGACACAGGGCAAATGTGCAACCTCCGCACAGACAGTCACCCAAGGCTGGAATCGAACCTAAGTCCCTGGTGCTGTGAGGCAGCAGTGCTAACTACTGAGCCACCATGCCGCTCTTTATTCTGAAGTTATGCTCTCTATCTTAGACTGTCCCACAAGGGGAAACAACCTTTCAGCATCTATCCTGTCAAGTTTCTGAAAAATTTTGCATGTCCCGATAAGCTCTCCTCTCAATTCTGATAAGTACAGTCCCAAACTGTTCAACCTTTCCTCACAACGCAGTCCTTCCATACACAGTATCAACCTCATTGAACCCTCTCTGGACTGCTTCCAAAGAGCCCAAAACTGTTCACAGTATTCTAGCTGTGGTCTGACTAATGTTTTGGTTAATTTTACCAACTGTTTTTATAGTTGTAAATAAAGGCAAATGTTGCATTTACCTCCCCAACTTGTATGCTAGTGTTTTGAGATTTTTTTTGTATGAGGATTTCCAAATCTCTCTGTGCTGTGGCGTTTTTCAATCTCCGTCCATTTAAATGACATTCAACTCCTCTGTTCTTGCTGTCAAAGTGCATAACCTCGCATCTTCCCACATTATATTACATCTTCCAAGTTTTTGCCCACTCAGTTTACCTGTCCTTATCCCTCTGCAGAGTTTTTGTGTCTTGCTCATTATTTGCTTTCTACTCATTTGTGTGTCAACTGCAAGCTTGACTACAGAGCATTGACTTTCCTTAACCAGGTCATTAACATAGATTCCAATTAATTGTGGCCCCTGCACCGATCCCTGTGTCACTCCACAAGTTGCCATCCTGAACTTGCGCCCGCATCCCATCCCATCCCAACTCAGTCTTCCATTAGTCAGCTGATCCTCTATCCATTACTAATATACTACCTCCAACACCATGGGACTGTCACCTTATTAAGTAGCCTAATGAGAGGCTCCTTATCAAATGTCTTCTGAAAATCCAAATATGTTACATCCACTGTTTCACCTTTCTGATTTCCCCTTCTTAGAGCCATGCTGACTCTACTTGATCATATTGTGTTTTCCTCTTGACATGTTCATTTCTGCACTGTTGGTTCAGTAATCCTTCTTGAAACATACTTTCCATCTCCACTCCATCAATGCACCCATGTTTTTGGTGATATTTGTGTATCTGTCATAGGCCTTAGCAAACCAATCACCCGTCTATTTGCTTACCCTGGTTAAACAACGCCTCAATGTTAATATTCTCAAACTTGTTTTCAAATTCTTCTGTTATCTTTCCCCTTCTCCCTTAATATCTCCAGTCCCACAATAAGCTCTGATCCTCTGATTTCATGTCTCCTCAGCAGCGTCAAGTGTAATTGTATCATTATTGTTGGCCAGGCTTTCAGCTGCCAGGACCTTAAGCACTTGATATCCTCTACACCCAACTTTTTCAGCCACTACAATTGGTAAAACAAAGGACAAAGTGAAGCATAAACGCCTGACGGATTTCAACCTCGAACCATTTAGCGTCATCTTCAGTCATCTGAAATAGAAATGTTGTTCAAATTTTCCTTGATTACTCCATAATTTCCTAGCTGTTTACAGTAATATGCTGAACTAACTGTATGATGTCAGTACATAATTACTACATTTCAACAGAACAGTTGTGAGCTTATCATGGTGACAGACAATAGCAATAAAGAAATTGTTCCAGTTTAACTCATCAATCAAATTTTGAGCAGCATACTCGTGCCAGGAATAGATGGAATGTAATTTGGAGTTATAATCTATATTAGTAATCAAGTGCTTCATACCATCAGAAAAAAAAATCACCCTTCCATGCTTTTGTGCTGTTTCCATTTCCTGTACTCTAAATGGATTTTCCAAGTTAAGACTAATTTGTGCTGTGGATTTATACTCTTTTTGAGACTTGGTTTGAAGCTTTCCAGACTTATTTCACTAATATCTTTATTGATTGTCAAATGCACTAGCCTCAGACCCGTCTGTCTGAGCCAGATTTAGATCATGACGCTACAGGTGAAGATACTTCATTCTTAAAATTGTCTACCAGACTATTCCTGGACATTAGTCAGTTTCTAGTTAATTCTGTTAATTATAAATATGGCATAACATATGAATCAATTTTTAATATCTCCCTTCAACGAGTGCTAATTTAAATGTCTTTGTAACTAAAATAGAACTTGAGTCTAAGATATGTTTGTATCAACTTTCACAGAATGTTTTGAGTACTTGCTAATTCCCAATAATTGTCAATAGAAGGTATCACCTAATGAGTGATGTGTGCATACCATTCCTGATTCTTCTGTTGGGTAATGGGTTCTGACTTGAACAGCTCCTCTTCGAGCTAACATTCTTTCCTTGATCAGATTGACATATGCATTTGACATATCACATTTATTGCCATTTATATTTTCTCAAATTAGATTTAGTTTCTGCATCGCCCATGTAACTAATCCTTTATTTTTAGCAGTTTTTTTTTTAAAAGTCATTGTATGTAAAGTCATTCCCTCACTCATTTTGATCTTGACTCATACCAGAATCCTCATTTTGTCATTTTGCATAATTTTGGAACATTCCAAGAGCAGCTTAAAGTTCAGCACAATATTTTTTGACTTCTGTTTATTGCTGCTTAAGTACTTGTGTCATGAAATTAAATAGGAAGTGTCCCACACTGGTGCTACTTTCGTGTTCATCACTAATTGTTGAATTGCTAAAATTGAATCCAAAACGCTTTGGCTTTGTGACTTTCTGAGAACTCTAAGCAAGATCCGTAACTTGTGCCAGTAACTACCCAGGTTATGTACTTTTGCATGTGTTTCATTAAACGGAAGTGTTTATGGAATCCATAGAATCTCTACATTGTGGAAGCAGGCCATTCAGCCCATCAAGTCCATGCCAACTCTCCGAACAGCATCCCACCCAGACCCATCCTCCCCACCCTATCCCTGTAACCCTGTATTTCCTATGGCTAGCCCACCTAGCCTGCAGATACCTAGACACTGTTGGCAACTTACTATGGCCAATCCACCTAACCTGCACATCTTTGGACTGTGGAAGGAAACTGGAGCATCCGGATGAAACCCATGCAGACACGGGGAGAATGTGCACCCGAGGGTGGAATTGAACCTGGGTCCCTGGGCCTGTGAAGCAGCAGTGCAAGCCACTGTGCCCTATTTATTATATTGTATCTCTGCCTGAATCGTGTTTCTACATAGTTTGTTGTGATTGTAATTTATTTAGTTTAGGGTTTTTTGTAGCACCAAGTATCAAATGTATGTGATATATCAACATTATCGCTTTGGCAGATTAAACAATTTGCATTAAATCTGCACATTTTAGGGAATGCTGCAAAATGTAAAGATTATGTGATTCTGTAATTACATATGAAAACTTGCATATCTCGTTGCACATTTGTTTTAAGAGAACTTTTGTTCTAATTAATGTATGAAATATACAGTCTGGAGAATGCAAAATGTTCATGTTTCAGCCATCCAGTGTTTGCCTTACAGATTCTAAGTCACTGTAATAACAATCACGTTGAATTGCTTTTACTCTTGCCTTCACCATGTGCCTTACCTTGAACTTCTGATTGATGTCAGTTCATTCCCACTCCACTATTTCTTGGTCTTGCTGGGTGTTTTCTTGCTTTGTGCCAAATTTGTACTAAGGGGCACATGTTCAAAATTCATTGAACTTAGCAGTAGTTCAGACAATGAATTGAAGAGACTTTCAGCTTTCAGTAAGGGTGGTTTTCAACCAACATTCAAAGCTGGCTAATATGTCGACGTACAATGTCACAGTTTCCAGTAATTGCTTTGCATTATCAAAACTGCTAATTCATTGATACTATAGAGTACTGTTTATTTTGTTCGAGTAAGATCACTCGGACATGAATTCTTTTATCTCAGTTGTATGTTCACAGCAAATGCCAAGGTCCTGTCCACAGGAAGAGAATGGTATTTGGAGGGTACTCAAGTTGCTTTTGCTTATTCCTTCGCTGAGAAGCGGTATTGCCATACAGATCTAGTAGGCCATCTACACAAGAGTATTGCATTATGTGAAAGAAGTAAAAGGACTGAATTATCAAATATTTTTCTTCTAATTAAAAATATTGCACAAAAATTTGGATCATTTGTGTTTCCTGTTGTCCAAATTTTTATCTATTCACAGTTTATTACAGCAAGGGGAAAAATGTATCGCATGTAGCTCGCAAGTGTTTAACTCTCATACCACAAAGCCTTATGTATGCACTCTCCTACACTTCAACTTATCTTTGGATGTGTAAAACATAGCAATGTCTGTGACTCAATTGAAGATGAACTGATTATGTGGATTTTGCAATCTTTCTGTCAGATTATGATCGCAAGTTGCATTTAAAGTCTGTTTATGATCAGTCTTCTCAAGACTGTCAATGACTCCCAGGTCATTAAATCTGTAAATGACTCCATATCGATTTCATTTTTCTAGATTTTAGTTTTAAAAGTTTTGTTTAACTTCAACCTAAAATGTATGAAGTGAATCTCAGTTTGCTAACTGCTTCATTTCACTTGATAACTTCAGTTCATATACATTGAAATGTGTATGAATTTGTTTATAAGTTGTGTATATTTCTGCTGCTCTTTATTAAAGAGAAATTGTTCCACAAGCTTTGTTTTTTCAGCATTAATTCCAGAGAAAATAAGATTACACTCAGTGGCTTTCACAATAATATTGATTTTTTTTCTTTGTTTTGTGCCGTAACAATATTAATTAAGCATTACACTGATTTAGTGTAATAACAGTTCTTAATTCTTTGCAGCTGGTCTCAGAAGAAGTTTTCGACTGAGCAGAAAAGATAGAAAGACTAATAAATCCATGTATGAAAGTAAAAGAAGTGAACAGTACGACACAGCAGATGTACCAACATATGAAGAGGTTGTATCTTACCAGCATCAACCTGATGAAAAGTACAGACTGGTAGTTCTTGTTGGTAGGTGCCATTTTTATCTAGTCCTTTATTTTGTCACTGGTTTGATAATCTTGTATTGATCAATTAACAAAGTAAAGTGAGCAGTTTTATTAGAAAATTGTTTTGAGGAATACAATGCCAGTTTTTGCACTGTTTTATAATCAGTCTTCTCAAGACTCTCAATAACTCCCAGGAATGTTTTCCCTTGGATGTCTAAATAACTGTTTAAAGTTTTTTTTTGAGACATACTTCCATGCAACAGCTTTTCAGGCCTTGGGCTAATTCCTGCACTGCAACTGGAGTATTACCCATAGTTAAGAAAAGCAAACATCCTTGGATATGTACCTCTGACTTGTCTGGTTTACCCATCTTTACAGTGTGCACCTTGATATTCTTACCCAATCAAAATTAGCTCAACATCGGCAGCCTTTTATTACCATTTATGCGAGCAAGTGCTTCTTGTTTTTAGTGTTCAGTGGCTGCACTCTGGTTTTAAGATTGTCAATTTGTTCTGGATTACCTTACCAGAAGAAATAACTCCTCTTTCTACCTTATCAAGTCTATTTATCATTTTAAGCAACTTCATTATGTTACCCCTCAAATTTCTGAGCACAAATCAAATTTGTGAAACCTTCCTTCAATAAAGTACTTTTAAAATTTTAATTTTTGTTTAAATTTCCCGACTATATTTATAAGTTACTGTTGTAAATTTATACCTCCCAGTTTTTTGAATTCGCTATAAATTTAAACACCTTTTCTTTATCTACCTTTTTGAGATGCTTCAGGCCACCTCTCAGCCTCTTCCCTTCTAGAGAAAAGATTCTTAGCCTATTAATCTCTTTTATGACCTCTCAATTCTGGTTTTACCTTAATACATTTTTATTTGCACCTTCTGTAATACTTTTATATGGTTTATGTACTATAGTGATCATAGTCTTCCAGTCCTAAAAGTTTAACATGACTTTTCCAACCATAAGACATAGCAGCGAAAGTAGGCCATTCAGCCCATCGAGTCTGCTCCACATTTCAGTGAGATCATGGCTGATCTGATAATCCTCTACTGTTCTTTCCTGCTTATTCCACATAGCCCTTACTTCTCTTAATGATTAGAAACCTTTCTATCCTAGTCTTGAATAAACTTAATGACCCAGCCTCAACAGCCTTCTGTGGAAAGAAATTCCACAGATCCTCTCCCTCTGAGAGATGAAATTCCTCTTCATCCCATTTTAATAACCCCTTATTCTGAGATTATGCTGTCTGGTCCTAGACACTCCCACAAGGGAAGTAACCGTTCCACATCTGTCCTGTCACGTCCTGAAGAATCTTGTATGTTTCAATAATGTTGTCTCTTGTTCTTCCAAATTTCATTGAGTATTAGCCCAAACTACTCAACTCTCCTCATAAGGCAGTCACGCCATAGTTGGTGTCAGTCTAGTGAATCTTCTCTGGACTCCCTCCAAAGCCAGTTTATCTTTCCTTAGATAAGGACCCAAAACAGTTCACCCTATTCCAGCTGAGGCCTGCCTAGTGCCTTGTATTGTTTTAGCAAAACTGCCTTTGAATTTCTTTTAATAAAGGCTAGCATTCCACTTGCCTTCCCTAATATCTGCTGAACTTGGATGTTAGCTTTTTCTGTGATGTTGGATGAGGACCCCCAAATCCCTCTGTTGTGTAGCTTTCTGCAGTCTTTCTCTATCTAAATAATAAACAGCTTCTGATTCTTCCTGCCAAAGTGGATAACCTCACATCTTCCTGCATTACATCCTATCTTCCAAGTTTTTGCCTACTTGCTTAACTTGTCCATTTCTCTCTTCAGACTCTGTGTCATACTCACCATTTGCCTTCCCACTTGTTTTGCTATTATCCGCAAGCTTGGCTGCGGTAATCCACTTTCCACATCCAAAGTTGTTAATATATTATGAATAATAGCTTTCTGCTTTCACCTCAGCTCTTCCTTTTAAAATGGACTTGTGAAACTGTGTCACAATAGTTCTTTGCTCTACAACTCCATTTAGGCCCTCATCATCCCAGTCTTATCTATTTTGGAATCCATTTGCCATTTAAAGATGCATTCAGCAAATTAATTAATGTTGCCTTATATTTTGTCAAGATCTTCCTTTTTATATTAATTTGATGTCAACCACAATTTTAGAAATTGTTCTTAATCCCAACATCAATCCTTGTGGAATACTGCATCCCACCTTTCGCCGATCTCAGTGACTCCCTTCAACCTGATTCTCTGTCTTCTGTTTGGCGGCCAACTCCATTCTCATGGGACTACTTTGTGGTTTGTTTTGGAAATCTAAAAATAATACTCACTACCAAAGGGGTTTCACAAGGTGGGCTCATGGAGATAGAGGGATGGGTGTTGGAACCCAGCCACAGTGAAGTGATGTTGGGGACGGCTTCCCAGAGTAGGGTCACATGGTGTTGAAAGCAAAGGCAGGGGATGATTTTCATCAGGCTCCCCTTCCTGATATCCAGCTGCTCAGTCAGACACTAAGTTCTATGATTGAGGAACACTCCTGGAGCTGATCAGCTGGTGCATGCCGCATGGCAACAGTCTTGCCTGCAGTTGTGTTAATACCAGTGGCTGCAGGATGAAGTTCTTAAATTATCATCAATCATCTGCTTACAAGCCTTAATTCAGGCTGGAAAGATCAACCATTGCTCCTCTTATCGAAAAATTATTTCTGGTGGATTTGGAAAAGTGGCAGGTTTTGGGTACAACACCATTTCCTTTCAATTAAATGCTCTTCCTGCCTCCATGCTCTCAGCCAGCAAGAGCCAAAGATTCTGTGATGTCTTGGGTATTTGTACAAAAACATATTTACCATACAAGATTATTAGACTCATTAACACTGCATGACAAAATTATAAGGACACTTTTCCTGTGGGACTGACTTCTTTCTGAAAACAGCAAATCTCAGCTTTATTTGGGTCCAAAGAATGATTATTCGGATTTGTGCACTCTTCTACTGCAATGCTGTAAAGTTGTTTCAGTAATATTCAACTGGGAGAATATCGGGCATGCAGATCGTGTGCACATTGAAATTTAAGACCAGTCTGAATAATATGTTGATCAAGAAGTGCTGGAACCAAAAAAGCCATGCGGGAAACTGTACAGTAGGTACTGACTATTTTTGGCTCAGGATGCCTCTGAATTGGCATCATCGCAGGCCCTAGCTGCTGTTCTGCTGGAATCTCTTGGAGTTATTCTGAACTTTTCATGAAGAATTTCAGCTGTAACTGTTTGTGTAGAGCAGGTGAAGAGTCAATGCACATGCAGCAAATAAAGGCACTTCCTCTCATGTAACATATTTTAATGCCTTTTTTCATATCTTACATATGGAAAGAAAAAGCTTATTGTCAAATTACTTCTCTCTTCCATATAATTCTCTTTTAATTTGACATGCATTTTAACAAAGAAAGATGCTGTGCTTTTTGGTGGTTTTGTAAAAGGTATTACAGGTTTATTGAAACACGTAGACAAGTTTCAATTTTGAAACTAAAACTAAGTTTTGTTCAGCCACGATATTGTTGATATGGCCAAATCTCACATTAGGTAGTAAGGGACTGGGAGAAAAAATACAGACTAATTCACCTTTATCACTAAGGCCTAAGAATATATTGTGAAACAATGCAAATTTTACTGCCAGCCATCTTTCCATTGGTAATTTCTTAAGTATTTCCTCTCAACATCTGCTGTGCATCAAGGAAGCCTATTCTGAAGAGGGGTTGAATTCCGTTGTATAAAAATCCATCAAAGCATTCTCCTTTTTTTCTGAAGCCTGGAAGGATGAAGCTTTCTGATAACCCTGCCCAAAAGTGTAAATGTGTCTGTCTGTGTATTTTGGAACGACAAGAGCATGCAAGCGACAGAGTCTGTAGTTGAAATTGCTTGTTATATTGTACACTGATGGCATAAGTCAAAAGATTAGAAAAATAATCATGCTAAATGATTCTCCAGAAGTGGCGTATTATTACCATAACAAAGTTGACTGTGTAATTGTAGCCATATCACATTGCAGTGTGTAATAAATGATTTGCTTCACACATTCAAAACCTATAAATGCTTGACAGTTTAGCTCAAAATGAATTATTTGCTTTATATATTCCTGGATTTTTATTGCACCAGGCTTTTCTTGCTACTCTATTTTTCGAATACAGTGGAGTAAGAAATGGTGTAATCCAAGTACAAAATGCTTATACAAAAATGAAAATTGCTGGAGAAACAGAGCTGGCAGCATCTTCAGATCGAAAACAGAGTTAACATTTCAAATCTAGTTATCCTTCTTCAGAACTTTACTGAACAAAGTACACATTGTTTGTCTTTGGCGGTATTGAGGATATTTCTTATTTTGTTTGTGGAAACTCATTTTCAACAGTGTTCATCAAATTACACCAAAATATTATTTATAAGTTTTTTTTTCAACTAGTTTGCAAAACACTGCCCAATTGCATTGGTTCTGTTAGCTTTTGCCATGCAAATGACATTAAGCAACAAAATCAAGTAAAAATACTTCAAAACTAATGCAGTTTTGGGCAGGATTAAAAATTGTGCCCAAAGTAAAAAATTTACCCCTCAATGTTTTACTCTGTATTGTTCTTAGTTCTCAAACAAGAGTATGTTATGCATGGTACACTGGTCTCAGCATGATGTTGTAGTTATTTCAGGTATTGGACTAAAGGAGAGAAATGTGACCTGGTTTGAGTCAAAAGACAAGTAATTCTCAATAGATTTTATACCAACTAATAGCAATACAGTTGATTTCCTTGCCCTAAATGGGCTTCAACCTGGGAGAAGACTTCAAAAGCTACCTATATTGTCCTCAACTTGCCACACATTTCAAGGCAGAAGCAGAGCAAATTCGGTATTCTCGGGCTGGCAGACTAAGAAGACGATCAGTGCTGAGGCCTCAACTACTCACAAAATACATTTGTGACTTGGGTGAACTGCATGAATGTAAGGAGCCATAATTCACAAAGGACCAAGGGCATTTCTCTCCATTACAGATAGA